TATTTAGATTAGACACATGTAGGTCATTATTTGAAAGTGAGACTGGAGAAGATAAAATGGAAGGTTTGAGAGAGAAAAAAAGGTGTGACATGTATACATAAGTACATAACAAAATATCTTAATGATCTGTTGTAGAAAAAATGAAAAACTGATGAAAAAAATTGAAGATCTAAATAACTGGAGACAGATTTTGTGTTTGTGGACTGGAATGTTAAATATTGTCAAAATGCTATTTTAAAAATTGTGAACTATAGGTTGAATACAATTCTTATAAAAATTTTAGCAAGAAATTTTTCATACATTGAACAACTGATTCTAAAATTTATACACAAAAGAAAAAAACCTAGAATAGCCAATATAATCTAAAAAAAAAACAAACAAACAAATTGATGAGTTTATATTACCTAATTTCAAGACTTACTATAAAACGTACCATAGTGAAGACAGGATGCAATTGGTAAAAGAATAAACACATTGATTAAAAGAACAGAAAATATAGTCCAGAAATAGAGCCATCCAAATATAGTCAACTGGTTTTTATAAAGGATCAAAGGCAGTTTGCTAAAGAATGGATATTTTCAACAGAAGTTTCTGGAAAAATTCAATGCCTACACCAAAAAAAAAAAAAAAAAAAAAGAGAGATAGAGAACTTAAATATATATCTCACATCTTCAACAAAAAATAATTTAAAATATACATCTAAATGTAGAATAAAAATATATTTAAGTTCTACAAGAAAGTAAGATAAAATATGGGTGACCTTGGTTTTTTGATGGATTTTTGAGTATAATAACAAAAATACTCTTTGTCAAAGTTAACAATAAGTTGGACTTTACTAAAATTGAGACCATTTATTATTAAGATTATTTTGCTCTGCCAAAATCACTGTTAAGATAAAAAACAGACCAGCCACATACTGAAAGAACATATTTATAAATCATATAGCTGATAAAGGACTTGTGTCCAGAGTATACAAATAATTCCTAAAACTCAACATTGAAAAAAACAGCCCAATTTAAAAATTAGCAAAAGATCTAAATAGACATCTCACTTACAGCTTTCAAATAAGTATTTGAAAGTATGCCTAATGTCATTTGTCATTAGAGAAATGCCAATTTAAAAAACAAAACTACTATGTTCTTACTAGAATGCATAACGTTAGAAAACATAATACCAATTGCTATAGAAGATTCAGAGCAACAACAACTTTTCATTGTTGGTAAGAATGTAAAATGATAAAACCATTTTATGTAGTATTTTGGCAGTTTCCTTTAATGTTTTATACCATCGTACTATATGATTCAACAATTATACTCTATCCAACAGATTTAAAACTTTCATAATACTTATACATATGGATATGTATAGCAGTCTTATCAATAATTGCCAAAAACTGGAAGCAACCAGGATTTCCTCCCATAGGTGAATGAATAAGCAAACCGTGGGATATAAATATGCTAAAATACTATTTACTGATATTTCAAAATTGGATATTAATCCATGGATGAATCTTAAATGTATATTTCTAAGTTTAAAAAGCTAGCATAAACATACTGCATAGTGTACGATTACTTTTATTTGATATTCTGGATAAGGCAAAAACTATAAAGAGAGAAAATGGATCAGTGGTTGCTCAAGGCTTAGGGAGGAGGTGGATAGATGAAGCACAGTGGATATTTTAGGGTGATGAGACTACACTATATAATATTATAGTTTTGGATACATGAATGACATTATGCAGTTTTTAAAAATCCTCAAAAATGTATAGCACAGAATGGACCTTAATATATGCACATTTAGAAAAATAATTTGGGAGGTCAAGGAGCCTAGGATGGGATGAAGTTTATGATAAAGTAATCTATTCATGTTACAAATGCAAAGTGTAAACTCACTGAAGGAAGTGGGGAAGGAGATTCTGATCTGAAGTAACTTTGAAAATGGTTTTGAGAATATAAGTCTAAAGGAAAAAGGAGTTGTACATAGCACTTTAAATAATACAGTTATTTATTATGAGAGTATGTATTAACAATTTGGAAATCATTCTATTAGTATGCTAGAATTGAACAATTAAATAAATGCATAGCAGAAGCCAAGTTTCTTACTGTTTGAATGAGAGATTACAAACAATCAAAGAGAAGGATAGAAGGATTCATGTGGTAATGCAACATAGTTGAAGCCATCAGTAGACTTTGTTTAGTTTAAGATAGGTATATAAAAATATTTATAGATATGCATGCATATGTATGTATGCCTGGTTTAGTATATACACATGTATTTGCTTTGTCAGCTCTTCACTTGTCTGTCAGCTGAGGGAGTCTGAAAGCAATGATACTTTGGCAGGAAATATAAAAGATAAGCCTAGAGTAGCTTGCAGTTCCAGAAAATAAGAAAGTGTTAAACAGCTGGGCTCGGTGGCTCAGGGCGGTAATCCTACCACTTTGGGAGGCTGAGGCGAGTGGATCACAAGGTCAGGAGTTCAACACCAGCCTGACCAATGTGGTGAAACCCCGTCTCAGAAAAAAAAAAAAAAAGAAAAAAGAAAGTGTTAAACAAACAAGCAAGTGAAAGGACATACAGCCAAGTAGCACAAGAGCCAACTTAATTGAATAGAACAATATTTGGAAATAATAACCACATTTTTTACAGAATTCCAAATACGTTTTGTAGATGCTTACTTTTCAAAGAGATGGAACATCACTTCTCATTCCACACAGATGGGATATGCATATTGACTTCCTTCTAAAGAACACAGTATGGAAAGGACAAGAAAAAAATAATTTTACAGTGGTGAAATTTAAAAAACACTACTACGTCAGCCAGATGACTGAGTTTAACATCCTTAGTGATAAATAATATTAATTATATGCACCTTGATGTGATAAGAATGACACTTTACCTCTGTGATCTTTCTTCCAAAAACATATACCCTTTTTTATTCATGAGATAAGCTTCAGACAAATCCAAATCAAAATATGTACTATGAAATATCTCACCAGTATACCTCAAAATTTTCAAATTCATCAAAAGCAAGGAAAGACTGAGAAACTGTCATAGCTTAGAGTAGTCTAAGGAGACATGATGACTAAATGTAATGTACCTTTTTAGATGAGATCCTTGAAAAAAAAAATCAGGTAAAAACTAAGGAAATCTGAATATAAACTTTACCAAATGATAAACTATCAATATTGGCTTATTGATTGAAAAAAAATGTACCATACCAATGTTAGATGTTAATAATAGGTAAGGCTAGGCAGGGTGACTCATGCCTGCAATCCCAGCACATCGGGGGAGCCTGAGGGGGTGGATTGCTTGAGCTCAGGAATTTGAGATATGCCTGGGCAACAGGGCAAAACCTCATCTTTACAAAAAAAAAAAAAAATTAGTCAGGCATGGTGGTGCAAAACTGTAGTTCCAGTAGCTTAGGAGGCTGACACAGAAGAACCATGTGAGCCTGGCAGGGGAAGGCTGCAGTGAGCTGTGATGCCACCACTGCACTCCAACCTGGACGACAGAGTGAGACCCTGTTTCAAAATAAATAAATTGCAGGTAAAGTTGAATTTGGGTAGAGTGTCTGTAGTAGAACTGTAACTTTTATGTAAATCTAAAACTATTCTAAAATAAAGCTTATTAAATTTATTAGATGTTCAAAAGAGTTTAATGTCTTATCAGTTATATTCTGTACAACATTGCTTCTGATCAAGGAATTTATTTCACAATGAAATAAGTGTACCAATGAGCTCATGACCATGTAATTCACAAGTCTTAAAATGTACTGTATCATCTATAAATAGATGCCTTGATAACATAGCAAATTATGCATCAGGTATTCATTTACAATATCATTTTCGATAATCCATCCTTATAGGAAAAGACTTTATCTTACAGAAGGCAATAATACTTTTAATAGGCAACCAATATGTGGTACACATTCCCTCATAGACAAAACACGTGAATCTGAAAAGCAAGAGAAGTAAGTGAAAATTATTCTTCTTAATAATATACCCAAAACAGTCACAGAATTTTTCCTTCCTATTCCCATAACTTTGAACATTGGTTATTTGGAGTTCTTAATTCAAAAGAAGAAACTATTTTCATCTAGAGACATAACAATGGATTAATTAAATTGAAAATCCAGGCTGCCATTTAGCCATTTGATTTGACTCTTCATGCCACAAAAACAACAGGCAAAGAAAGAGGTTACTTCATTGCCTTGGGTAATTGATACTAACAAGAGGAAATTCAGTTGGCACTATCTAATAGGTGCAGGAAAGACTGTGTTTGGAACCCAGTGGCTGCTTCTTAAAATTCCATGTTTTACAGTATAATGTAATGGTAAACAACTGTAATAAAAAAAGACAAGATTTAGTTGAGATGTGGCCTGATGAAAAAGAAATATGGTAAAAGTATCAGGAAAAGGTTGTAATACATATCAAGCATGGTCTTACAGTTTCCGAAAAGAGAACTGTGTCTGCTATGCACGTTTTCCTCCTTGTTTTTTTTATTATGGGAATGTGCATTCACTCACACATTGATTTTTTTTTCCTCACTCTTAACTTTCCCTTTATGACTTTAAATTAGGGTTATTGTCTGTGTTTAGTTTATAATTTAGTTTTTAGGGTTTAGAATGTTCTGATAGTACTGTAACAGAATTAGAAGAATAATTAATATAACCTAGAGATGTGTTAGTGACTATTGCTCAAAGATGTATACAATTACTGTTGGGAATGTGTGTCTTTAGTTTTGGAGAGAGCATGAGATAACTTTTGTTTGTATGAAGAATACTTGCATATTTTGCACAAAAGCATAACATTTTTCTTGGGGTTGAAAGGAAGTTCAAATATATGTAGAAGGATACATATAAATTCTGAGTAGTGAAGAACCAGACTATTTTTAACCTATTTTTCTATGCTCTAAACCTACCTTTCTTTGCTCTGCTTTGCGATCTTGGTGCTTTGACTCTGAAAGCTACGTCTCTTTTGTTAGATGGCTAACAAAATGTTTGCTTATCTTCCTGTTTTCTACTGATACATTATACTAGAAAGGAACTTGAAGACAAGAGGGGTGAAAAAGGTAAGTGATTTGTTCTTTCCTGTTTGTCTGCTGTTTCTGTCAGCATCATCCCAGCAATAATTTTTCACTCTGACTGCAACAGGAATCTAATCTTTAGATTTTTTTTCTAACTTCCAGAACTACCCTAATTCTATCACCTCAGAGGTCCCAGACAAATCTTGGGAGAACCCTCTCCACAAATATCTCAATCACAGGTTTGTGGAACCTCTACTAAGAGCTGCTTATGCAGCAGCACTAGCTAGTCAGTAACCCCTAATAAACAATCTTTGAAAGTCCTCTGCACTAAGCCATACAGTGCCTTATCCCAGAAGACTGAACGCCAGGTCTTCCAGTTAGGTCTTGTCCCTGAGCTCCTGACATAACAGCCTTGGCTAGGCAGTGCTCCCTTCCCAGAATTCTGTGTTCCAATTCTATGGAGTCTCTTCGCTCCACTAGTTGGCTCTGAAATACCTAACTTCTTCCTTTTGTTTTATGAGCTGTAGGATTAACAGCTGCTTTCTACAGTTACTATCTATGCATCACCTCAGTGTTCTTGTTTTTTTCTTTGAACCTCCAACACATGATTAACTGGATTCCTATATTAAATTTTATCTGTTGAGATATCTAGTATGTTTTTTGTTTTCCTGAGTGTACCCTCGTAGATCAACTACATAGAATGGTATTTGACTTATTTATCTTGTTTATCTTCTCTCTTCCCTTACTAAACTCTTGGCACCATGGGAGCAGGAACCAAACTTTTTTGTTCACCGTTCTGTCCCTAATGCCAAAAACAGTGACTGGCATATATTAGATGCTCAACTGATATTTGTTGAATAAATGGGTGAATGAATTAATGAATTAGTTTTGTGAGAGAAGAAATTATTTTTATCCAAATGGTAAGTCATTTGTTCCAAAAACCATGGGTTTAATAATACACTCTTTCATTGCTGCTTTCAAATCTCATCTTTATTAAGAGAGTCTTATTTATATTTATGTCTATTCATGAATTTTCTTTATCATTATCTTTCTTCACTAAAACTTAAGACACATGATGACAAAAATGTCAGTGTTGTTTTTTTTCTTTCTTTCTTTTTTTTTTTTTTTTTTTTTTACTAGTGGCGTCAGCATCCAGAGGAAGTCTGGCACATAATAGGTACTAAATAAATATTTAATGAATGATCAATGAATGAATCTTGATCCCACAATAAAATTCTGACCAAGTATTTTGATAAACATTTGTTCTCTAACTGTAGAAAGTTAAGTAATGTAGTGACTCTTTATCCGGCAATTGAACATATTCCAAATATGTTAAACAAAAAATTCCAAAAATGAGCAAGCTATTAGTTTTAAAGTATGTGCCATTCTCAGTAGCATAAAAAAAATTGTGTGCCGTTCTCCTTAGTTCCACCAGGGAAATGAATCATCCCTTTGTCCATCATATTTGTGCTCTATAAGCTACCTGCCCACTAGTCACTTAATAGCCATCTTGGTTAACAGATTGACTGTTACAGTATCACTGGCCCCAACTAGCAAGAGTAATGATGCTGACATATTGTTATAATTTGTTTATTTTATTATTGGTTATCGCTGTCAATATCTTATTATGCTTAATTTATAAATGCAACTTTATTATAGGTATGTAGGTATAGAAAAAAATAGTATATATAGAATTTAATGTTATGTTCAGTTTCAGACATCCACTGGAGGCCTTGGAAAGTATTCCTTATGAATGAAGAGGGGCTACTCTACTGTGAATACTTGCTCTCTCTCAGCTACTTAATTAAGGTTGTCATGACCAATTTTCTTAAACATGATTATTGAGGTAAGAACAATTTTATCCAACTGATATTTATAGAAAATCTATTATGTGCAATGAAACCCAATAAAAGATTAAAACTTCAAAAGTTGATGTAAAGTAATATAACTGTGCTGATTACTTTATTGAAGACAGGTCAGCAAGGACTAATTTTATAAAGTTAGAATGAGGTTATTGGAGACATGTAAGTTTTAAACATGAGAACCGTTAACTCAGAGAAGTAGAAAGAAACTTTGCTGACTGGAAGGACAGAATTCTTTTTTTTTCTTTTCTTTTTTTTTTAATTGCATTTTAGGTTTTGGGGTACATGTAAAGAACATACAAGATAGTTGCATGGGTATACACATAACAGTGTAATTTGCTGCCTTCCTCCCCTTCACCTATATCTGGCATTTCTCCCCATGCTATCTCTCCCCAACTCCCCGCCCCCCACTGTCCCTCCCCTATTTCCCCCCAACAGACCCCACGTGTGATGCTCCCCTCCCTGTGTCCATGTGTTCCCATTGTTCAACAGTTGCCTATGAGTCAGAACATGCGGTGTTTGATTTTCTGCTCTTGTGTCAGTTTGCTGAGAATGATGGTTTCCAGGTTCATCCATGTCCCTACAAAGGACACGAACTCATTGTTTTTGATGGCTGCATAATATTCCATGGTGTATATGTGCCACATTTTCCCAGTCCAGTCTATCATCAATGGGCATTTGGATTGGTTCAAGGTCTTTGCTATTGTAAACAGTGCTGCAATGAACATTCGTGTGTGACAGAATTCTTTAAAGATATCAGATAGAGGCTTCATTTTATCCATTGAAAATAGAAGGAGATAACGGAAAAACAGACAATTCTTTCTGTAATAGGGCATTATTAACAACAGTAGGACTTGGTTAGGCCTCTAATTAGAGCTTTTAAATAATTGAGAGGAAGGAACCATGCTCTTTTATCTGTCTTCCTTTACCTAGCTCATGTGCCTTTTTATTTGTTATTTTTATGTAGAATCACTGTTACCTGGGGCTAAAATGAGGCTCACTTTCTTTCCTGAGAGGCAGTTGAGATCACAGATCCTTCCTCCACCCACAAGTACCTTACATTTTGCCTACTTTTCACATTTTTGTGGATACTTGTTTGTGATATGAGGTGATACATAGTATCTGGTTCTTGTCTTCCATAACTATATTAACCAAGGACAAATTCTGTTCAAAATCGTTCCATTACTTTTGTGATAAAAACATAAATATCTCAGTAAAATATGTGGTGTTCTAAAATTATCACAAATGAAGTTTAAAATTAATATAATAATTGTATGGTGATAGCTCCTCAAAGCTTTATACTATTTTAAAAGAAATATGCAATTATGTTTTGATCAACCTAATTTTATTTTAGGCTTGTAGTAGTGTAGTCAATAATTTTATGTTGAACTATAATCCAAACTTCATGCTAGATGTAGAAGACACAGTAGAGTGTAAGTCACAGACTCTGATATCAAAGAATATGTTGTTTAAAATGAAAGACAACTTTTATATAAGCCTCTGTTTACATGGGGCTTGAAATATGAGCTTGGGAGGTTTCAAATAATATGTCATTCGTTTCTACTCTTCACAGACATAGAAATCCGCAGGCATTGTTCACATATGAAGCAGGAAGTTAGTGGATGGCTTTATAGAAAGAAGATAATTGAACACAAAGAAAAGGAGAAGTCACTGGTTTCCTGGACTTTAAGGGAAGCCAATGTGACTAGATAAAACAGCGAAGTTGATGCTTTCTGAAGGCCATCACAGCTATTGGTAATAGGTATACATATTAGCTTGGAAAAGTAAGTAAAGGAGCCAAGATTTTCCAAAATATAGCTTTAACAATGTGCTAATGAATATGCTTCAGTAAAGAGAGTAGAACTTTAAAGCCTACAAAAACCTTAAAGAGAAAAAATCAGCATCTACCAGATGGGTTAAGCACAATCTGAAATACATGAAAGGAATCCATGGTACTAAGTGTACACATAGGCCAACTTTACTGTAGGAGTAGGGCATTGAAACCTAAAGTAGCTGGAGAATTATCGTGTAGTACAATCCAAAGCTCAGCAGCCTTCTGCAGGAGATAGGGACATAGGTTTTTAAACAAAATGTGAACTTACCTGTATCTAACAGCTTAGTCAGCTCTGAATATGCTTTATTTTAGAATTTGGAGTACCTCTGTTCAGCATGACTCTCTATTATCTGATATAGAAAAGGTTGTGGGAAGAAAAGGTCCTTGTTTTTATGTGTCTGGTGAATGATGAACCCAAATATTTTTCTGGGCTAGTAAATGAATTACTATCTTGAAAGCCATCTCTTACTAACCCCTGTTCTGGTGCTATGGTTTGAATGTATGTGTCCCTTCAATATGTTTATTTTAAAATTAATCCCCAGTGTGATAACATTAAGGGGTGGCACTTAGGAGTTGATTAGACCACATGGGCTCTGTCTTCCTTTATGAGATTAATACCCTTGTGAAAGGGCTTGAGAGAACTTGCTTGTCCCTTTTTTACCCTTCTTTCTTTTTTGCCTTGTGAAGACACAGCAATAGGAGTCATTTTGTAAGCAGGGAGCAGCCATCACCAGACACTCAATCTTTCCAAGCTTTCATCTAGGACTTCCCAGACTACAGAACTGTGAGAAATACATTTCTATGATTTACAAATTATCCACTCCATGACATTTTGTTAAAGAAGCTAAATAAAGTAAGACAAGGAATAAGAGGTAAATTCCATTTTAGTGTTTCTTTCTGGAGAATCTTCTTTCTGATGCTGCTGCTACTAACCAGTGGTTTTTACACCTAAATATAGTCGTGAAAGTATTGATGTGGCAGTTCCTTGATACCTATCTCCATTGTAACTACTCCTTCTTAAAGCATCTCTTTTATCACAATCTTTCCCAGGCCAAAGACAGACTGGGCTAGAATGGTGATGCATATAGTTAGAGTAGGTGAATCTCAAAATGAGTAATAAACATTTGAATAATAAATAAGTAATAAGCATCAATTCGTAATTTTTGTGTCACAGGAGGCACACACCTCAACAATTTAGTTCTACAAAAGCAGTGTTTTCCGTGTGAATGCTTCCTTTCTTCTAGTTTATCTTCTCTCCCTCTGCATATAGACTTCTCCATCAAGTCCTTCTTTATCTCTACTTGTGAAACCACAGCTTTTTCTGTAGAATTAGAATGATTTGTATTCGTCTTTTCTTTGAGTTTTCAACTCAAGTGCCTTAAGTTTCATTCAGATACTGATTAAAGTTTTGCTTAGTTATTGCTGATCCTGAGGGTAAAAAGAAAGAATGAATGTTGGTTCAGTGAGCAAAAATAAAGATGAGCTCTTCAATTCTAATTTATTTTCATCAATGACCAGAACTATTTTTGATTTAATATAGCTTATCAAATTTTCTAGCATCAGCACAATTTGTTATCTAGGGGACATGATATCAATTCAGGTTAGGTTAATTTTTATTCTTGCATTGGCTTGAATCCTACCTGTGTGGTCTTCAGTAAATTGCTTAACTTTTCATTTCTTAATTTTCTCATATTGAATTCTTGTAAGGATTAAAGCATATAATGTATACGAATCTCTTAGAACAGTACCCGACTCAATATGTGTTTGATTTAATACTCATGCCTAATTTCTATACTTGATATAAAGGGGTTAATAAGAGCTCTGGTACACTTTTTAATAATAACTTTAATTTGCTCTATCTATTGATAGAGTCAAACTTATATCTACCAAACTAAGTAGAAAAAAAAAAATCTTCACTTTGGTTGAGATATCTATGATAACAAATAGTTCCCAAATAAAGACAGCAAGAGATAGAATAATCCTTATGAGTCTAGAAAACAAAATCTATACACGTAATGGGACATATAAATAAGTAAAAATATATAAAGGAATGTATTAGAAACAGTTACAATTATGGATCTTTTCCCACTGGGTGCTTCCCTGTATCGAGGATATAGTTCACTGAAGGATGTTGAATAAAATTGCTAGTTAGAACGGTAACAACATTATCATTTAGCATTCTATTAAATTCACACATAAAAGCATATACTGACTTTACGAGAGAAAGGGAGTTATTATAGCCTGTTAAACACAGCCAGGAAGACTTTCTTCCACCAAGATCAAACCAGCAAGAAGATCAGCACACTGAGCAGAACTTTAAAAGGAATGCATTGAGAGTGAACAGATGGAGGACACAGACCCTGGGCTGAAGCGACTGGGGAAGTTGGGAACAATATATGATGTTCCCAAGCACCAGGACTTGTTTCTGGCTCCAAGTGATTCCTGAGGAAGGGGTGTGTCAAACAGGTATGGAGTGGCCCATTCTTAACATGGACCTCTGGAATCCTAGTCTCAGGGGACCCATGACACCCATGGACATTTGAGCTGGCAGGGAAAGCTGCACGGAGAATTGGCAGGGACAGGAGTACAGCTTGCATAGGACCCACCCAGGGGGTTTGATGCTAAAATGGCTGCAGTGGAGCCAGGCCAAAGATGGCCATCTCCAAGGTTTGTCATGCTTCTTCAGGTGGCTTTGGCATTTGTTGACTCTTTAATCTTGACAGAACAGGGCTATCTTGCTTGTGGGACAAGACCTTTCTGATATGAGCACACTTCTGTCTGCCAACCTCTCCCCTGCCTGTTGCCTGGCCATGTTGGCTTTAAAGTGTAGCCTCAGATGCCCAGTCAGTTTACTTCCCAGTGGCCATCACAATAGCTCATTCATGAGTGTAAGAGAACTTTTGCAGACAGGTTTCCACCAGCAAGCACCCACCTGCAGCCTACCCCCACCACTTTGCCAATCTGTACTTGCCTGCAGCCTCCCACTACTGTTTTGTTGGCACATGAATGTGGGGACACCACTGTTCCACCACAGCTGGCACATGCACATGTATAGATGATGCTGTCCCACTGCCACCTGCACATGTGCAATAGACACCACTGTCCCATCATGCCACAAGTGTCGACTCCACAACCACATCCTTGATGAAGCACTTTTGCAGGCATCCTCCATTAGTGTTGTTAGAACTCTTGGGTTCCTTCCAGCATTGCAGGTGCTTACCCTCCAGGGGCCAGAAAACAAAACCCATGTACCTGGAACCAGCAACCCGGGATTAGAACATGCAGATCAGGTATGCTAAGCTGAGCCTTGGCCCCCTGAAATTGTCCAAAATCGAAGCCAGTCAATGAAATCCGTAAACTAACCTTATAACAACTAAACTTAAACCTAATTAAACTTATACCATAGTCAAACTCTCAAGAACATCAAAGAATATAAAAGACAAAAAAGTGTCATCCAAAGGAAAGCAATTTCAAAGATTGAAGGAACGTCATCCCACACAGATGAGAAAGAACCAGTGCAAGAACTCTGGCAATTCTGAAAGCTAGAGTGTCTCCGTATCTCCAAATGACTGTACTAACTCTCCAGCAATGGTTCTTAACCAACTGAAATGGCTAAAATGACAGATATAGAATTCAGAATCTGGATAGCAGTGGAGATATTGAGATTCAGAAGGAAGTTGAAATGCAACCCAAAGAATCTAAGGAATCAAGTAGAATGATTCAAGAGCTGAAAGACAAAACAGCCAATTCAAGAACCAAAATGATATTGAGCTGAATAACTCACTACAAGAGTTTCATAATACAATTGAAAGAGTTAACAGCAGATTTGGACAAGCTGTGGAAAAAAGATCTCAGAGCTGAAAGACAAGGTTTTCTAATAAATTCAATCAGGCATTATTTTTTTTTTAAGAAAAAAAGAATAAAAAAGTGTACAAAACCTCCAAGAAATATGAGATTATGTAAGGAGACCAAACTTATGACTCATTGGCATCTCTAGAAGAAAATCTAGGAAATACCCTTCTGGACATAGGCCCTGACAAAGATTTAATGACAAAGCTCCAAAAGCAATTGCAACAAAACCAAAAATTGACAAGGGGGATATAATTAAACTAAAGAGCTTTTGCACAGCAAAAACAAACAAACAAACAAACAAACAAAAACTATCAACTGAGTGAATAGATAACCCATAGAATGGAAAAACATTGTTTTCAAAGCATGCATCCAACAAAAGACTAACATGCAGAATCCACTGGAAACTTAGGCAAATTATCAACAAAAAACAAACAACCTAAATATAAATGGGTAAAAGATGTAAACAGATACTACTAAAAAGAAGACATACATGTTGGCAACAAACATGTAAAACATAAAAAGTTCAACATTGGCTGGGTGTGGTGGCTCTTGCCTGCAGTACGAGAATTTTGGGAGGCTGAGACAGGCAGATCATGAGGTCAGGAGTTTGAGACCAGCCTGACCAACGTGGTGAAACCCTGTCTCTACTAAAAATACAAAAATTAGCCAGGCATGGTTGCACCAGCCTATAATTCCATCTACTCAGGAGGCTGAGGCAGGAGAATCACTTGAACCCAGGAGGCAGAGGTTGCAGTGGGCCAAGCTTGCAACACTGTATTCCAGCCTGGGTGACAGAGTGAGACTCCCTCTAAAAAAAAAAAAAGTTCAACATCACTAATTATTAAATAAATGCAAGTCAAAACCACCATGATATAGAGGAAAGGGAATGTAAATTAGTCCAGCCACTGTGAAAAGCACGTGATCAACCTAGATGCCTGTATTAGCCAGGGTTCTCTGGAGAGACAGAATTGATAGGATAGATGTATATATAAAGGGGAGTTTATTAAGGAGTGTTAACTCACACTATCACAAGGTGAGATTTTGCCATAGGCCATCTGTAAGCTGAGAAGCAAGAAAGCAGTCCAATCCCAAATCTGAAGAACTTGTAATACAATATTCGAAGGCAGAACACATCCAGCATGGGAGAAAGATATAGGCTCAGAGGCTAAGCCAGTCTAATCTCTCCACGTTCTTCAGCTTGCTTTTATTTTGACTATGCGGGCAGCTGATTAGATTGTGCCCACCCAGTTTGAGGGTGGATCTGACTCAAATGTTAATCTCCTTGGCAACACCCTCACAGACACACCCAGCAACAAGAGTTTTTGCATCCTTCAATCCAAACAAGTTGACACTCAGTATTAACCATTACAATGCCCATCAACTGGATAAAGAAGATGTGGTGCATATGCAAAATGAAATAACACACAGCCATAAAAAGGATAAAATCATGTCCCTTGCAGCAACATGGATGCAACTGGGCCATTATCTTCAGTGAATTAACACAGAAACAGAAAACCAAATACTGCATGTTTTCAGCTATACATGGTAGGTAATATTGAGTACATATGAACACAAAGAAGGGAACAATGAACACCAGGGTCTATCTGAGGGTGGAAGGTGGGAGGAGAGTAAAGATTTAAAAAACCATTTATCTGGTACTATGGTCACTACCTAGGTGATTAAATAATTTGTAGACCAAACTCTAGTGACATGCGATTTACCCATGTGACAAACCTGCATGTGTACCCCCTTGAACCTAAAATAGAAATGTGAAGGGAAAAAATACTATTTGAATATGATGCATTATACATTTTCCTTTACAAGTCACCTGCATTAGTCTCCTGGGGTACTATAACAAAGTTCCAAAAATTTGTTGGCTTAAAACCAAGAAATATATTGTCTGACACTTTTGGAGGCTAAACGTATGCAGTCAAGGTGTTGGCAGCACCACGCTCTCCCTGACAGCTCTAAGAGAAAATACACTCTTGTATTTTCTTGTTTTTGGTGTTTCCCTACAATCCTTGATATTCCTTCGCTTGTAGATGTATCACTTCAATCACATGGCAATTCTATACCTGTGTGTCATCATATCATCTTCCCTCTGGGCATATTTGTCTCTGTGTACAAATTTCTGCTTTTTATAAAGACAGGACTCATATTGAATTAGCAACAACCTATTTACTTCATTCTAACCTGATGACATCTATAAATATCCTGTGTCTAAATAAGGTCATATTCTGAGGTACTTGTTGTTGGAACTTCACTATATCCTTTCTGAAGAATACAATTCAACCCATAATGTAAACCTACTTCATTTTAGTGCTTTCCATCAGTGAATTGTTTTAGAGCTCAAGCAAAGCATTAGTATAGAGGAAAAATAATTTGGGAGTCCCTTAAAGCTATTTAGTGCAGTTATCCCTGGCTGACAGTTATAGCTTTGCATTAAAGAGTGTCTTTAAGGCAAATATGTTTTTATTAAGGATCTTCTGTACTTATTAATACATTCTGTATTTCTAGGAAGTAGTTAAATGTTATTTTTTGTTTGTTCTTTCCCAAAAGTACTATTAGATGTTAGTGATTTCTTCAAAGAGTAGGTATGGAGTTAGAGTACACTAGCCAAGAAAATTTTTGTATTATGAATAATATTTGAAGAAATAAAATGTCAGACATTTGTGTGCATTTTTTTTGTTGTTGTTAGGGCTGCCATATCAAAGTACAAGAAACTGGGTGACTTAATTTTTTTTCCCTCACATTTATGGAGGCGAGAAGTATACAACCAAATTATCAGTAATGCTGGTACCTACAGCCAGCCATAAGGAAAGAATCTGTGCCAGGTTTGTCTCTTTGGTTCTCAGTTTTATTCCTGTGTTTTCGCATCATCTTCTCTTTTTGCGTGTCTTACTCTGTGTTCATATTTTCTCTTTTTACAAGGACAGCAGTCATATTGGATAAGCACCCAATCTAATGACCTAATGACCTCATTTTATCTTTATTACTATTTTAGATGATACCTCGTCTCAAAATAAGGTTACATTCTGAAGTAATGGGGGGGTTAGCATAACAAAGTATCTTTTTGGGGGGAGCACAATTCAGCACCTTCTTACACACATATTAGATGATTTTCTACGTGGAAATGCATTATTATAGTTAATCTGCATATTAATCTGTAGTTTGAACCTAGGAAATGATATCAATAACTTTACAGGATTTCTTCTAGCAGTTAACTTAGCCCTTGCTCTCCAACTTACTTAATTCAAATGCAAAAACATGTGAAAACGATGAAATTTACAAGCAGTATCTTGAATATGTTTGAATCATAATCTACAGCGATTCATTATTAGTAATATTTACTTAAGGTGCATGTTGCTGATCATTGTATGCTGAACATTTCACAAAACTTTGCTACAGTACTATTACAGATTAAATTACAACCCTTTGAAATTCATAAGTTGAATCCCTAAACACTCAGGTGACTCTACTTGGAAATAGGGCCTTTAAAGCAGTAAATAAGATTAAGATTTTATAATAGTGAGTCCCTGATTCAATAAAACTGGTGCCCTTATAGAAAGACAAGGAGACATGAGGCATGTACATGCACAGAGGAAAGGACACAGAGAGAATATGCCATCTTCAAGCCAAGGAGAGAGGCTTCAGGAGAAACCAAACCTGCTGACACCTTGATCTTCCGGACTTCAGAACTGAGAGAAGCAAATTTATTTTAAGTTAACCCATCTGTGGAATTTTGTTATGGCAGCCCTAGAAGACTAATACAAATACACTAATAAAACTATAGTGAAAATTGAAATTCATCCATGTAAATCCATGCCATTCAAATTTTATCACTAGGTTAAACGTAGACACTGCTGCTCTTCAGCCTTTTCACTAGCGCTATCTGCTAAATGGGTGTCCAGTAAAATATCTTTCCTATACACGTTTATATTACTGTCAATGGAAGGGCCCACCCCTACCCAAAGACGTATTTGGAATTCTGCATCTGAGTTCCATGCTCCCAATGGGGCAAATTATAGGAAAAAAAACTAAGGAATTTGTAAAGAGATGAGTGGCGGTGAAAGATTAGAGAAACTGTCAACGATAAAAGTCAGGAAAAATGTTCTTGGACTAAAAAGAAAACATAATATGATTTTACTTTTGAAAAAGCAAAGGCATAAGTAAGGGAGGTTTTTAAGAAAGTGGCACCTAAGGAATGAAGAAAGAGCATGCTGGGATAAAGGCCAGAGAATTTATTGCCTAGAATTAAGGGTAAACTGACCTAACACAAGAATGGAGTAATAGTAGAATAAACATGATTATAAATAAAATACATAAATTTTAAAAAATAATTAAATTTGGGTGAATATTTAGAAAAAGTGTGAATAAATACAAAGGTAAATTGAGTGAAGAAAATATTATGCAGGGATTTGCTGCAGGAAGTATATTTTAACAAGTCAGAAAAAAATGTAGTGTAATAAGGAAGGAATGTAAACGTTTATTATCCAATCAGAAGAGACTGTGATGAGTTAATGGAGTGTGATTATAATATTGTATATTATCAGATAATATTATGTAAAGCAAATTGTTGGTGTGTCAGTTTTGTATCCTATCATAATACATATGATTTTTTTAATCTCATGAATTGGGAATTGGAGAGTAGACTTCTAACCTTACTTGAGACTCAGTCAACTCCATGAATGACAGGAAAGGAACGTAGGCCAGAATGATAAAGCAACGTTTTTTTTACATAGCTCGGTACAAGAGAATTGTCTGTGGTTATAGGTTTTCATGAGTTGAAGACAGTGTTTTCTGATTAGTTGGATGGGAAATAGCTACACACATTGAGGCTATGACCTTAGCAATGACAAAGCATTGCTGAAGCTGGAGTAAAACCATGTTTTCCTTGGTGGATACACTGTCCTTGTATATTCTTAGAGTGTACAAACTCCCAATATTTGTATTATAAATTATCCCAGGGCAAGACAATATGAAACGGTAATTGTATTATTATATACTCTCAATTTTAAAAACTGTAAATAATCTGTTTCCTCACAATAGTAGAATTAGAAACATGTTTGCCATTACTTTGAAACTATCACAGCAAATAGGATGCATTACATCCTCTGGGTCCCTTCCCATCCCCACTAGGTCAGAAACGAAAGTCCAATAATACTGCAATTTGTGCCTATGTTTTATCTCTTCTACTAAGTGAACTGCTCAGGGACTATATCAGGTTCGTTTCTTTCTCTCTTTTAAGCAGTTTCTGGAACATAATATCTTTTCAGTTAATAAGGATTGAACTATTTTGTAAGCAGTCTGGTGTTTTTCAACACTTTTTCTGACCTCTTGTTTCAAATAAGTTGAGCACTTATTTATCTGTCACCATGAGTTGTAATTCATTGAGTAGATTTTTTTAAGAAACATGTCATTTTATGATTATTTATAAATTCCAGATCTAGAAGCATTCTTGGCGAAGACGTTTTCTTGTTCCTCACTTTTTCAGCATTTTGTAATTTCATATTTATTCTATAAATCCCATACCAGTAAAATGTCTATCCAAGACCGAAATAGACCAAAGCAGTATTTTGGTTTTGGGGTGTGTGTGTGTTTTAAGAACCACCACTCCCTACAAATTTTAGTGGATAATTAGAAATTGAGAGGCCTAAACCAAAACTGCCATTTATTGAATTTATCTTCCTAAATAAAAATAACTTTCAAGAAAGCCACCTTGAAATTTAGAAAAATCAATTCACCATGGCATAGAATTCTATAGTACTTTTAGTAGCCATTCTGCATACACATTTTTAGAATGCCTATAATATGTAGATATTATTTGCTGGGATGGGGTTAGAAAGAAGGGTGAAAAGGTGAGAGTAAAAAGTTATAGTCCTTATTTGTAAGAGCTTATGGACAAATTAAAAATGTGTGGCAGAGCTGTAAAATTCATAGTAACTACACTTAAAATCAGGAAACTACTTTATGTCTTACTTTTGCCAGTTTCTAGTTGTTTGGCCTTAAGTGACTTAAATTTGAAAATGTCTGTAATACGGCTGCTACAGTTTACATATTTGACCCACCTAACCTCATGTTGAAATTTGATTCCCAATATTGAAGGGAGGAGCCTAATGGATAGTGTCTGGGTCATGGGGGAAAATTCCTCATGCATGGCTTGGTGTCATCCTCATCGTAATGGGTGAGTTCTTGCTCTACTAGTTCTCATGAGAGTTCCCACAAAAGCTGATTGTTTAAAAAAAAGTCTAGCACTCTCCCTTGTTTCTGCTTTCACCATGTGCTTTCTGCACAACAGCTCCCTTTTGTTTTTTGCCATGTGTGGAAACAGCTTTTGAAGCCCTCACCTAAAGCCAAGCAGATTCCAGTGCCATGCTTCTTGTACAGGCTGAAGAACCCTGAGCCACATGAATTTCTTTTCTTTAACTGTTACAGGCTTTGGTATTTCCTTATAATAACATAATGGACTAAGAGAGAAAATTGGCACTGAGGAGTGAGGTGTTGCTATAAGGATACCCAAAAATGTGAAAGTGACTTTGGAACTGGGTAGCGGGCAGAGATTGGACGAATTTGGAGGACTCTGAAGAAGACAGGAAGATGAGGGAAAGTTTGGAATTTTTTAGAGACTGGTTAAGTGGTTGTGACCAAAATGCTGATAAAAACATGAATAGTAAAATCCAGGTTGAAAAAGTCTTAGATGAAAATGAGACACTGACTGGAAACTGGAGCAAAGGTCACTCTTGTTAAGCTGTAGCAAATAACTTGGCTCCATTTTGTCCATGCCCTAGGGCTTTGTAGAAGGCCAAGAGTGATTACTTGGGGTAATTACCTTGTGAAATAAATTTCTAAATAGTAAAGGGTTAAAGAATTGCTGTGACTTCTTTTAACAGCTTATAATAAGATAACGGAGCAATGGAATGATACAAAGTTGGAATTTAAAAGAGGAGTAGAGTGTAAAAATTGGGAAAATCTGTAGCCCTGTGATATGGTAGAGAAGAAAAATGTTTTTCAGGCAATGAACAGCTAACAGGAGGGAGACAGGTGCTAATAGGAAGAGCAATGGGGAAAAGGCCCTGAAGCCATGTTAGAAATCTTCAAGGAAACCCCTCCCATCACAAGGCCCAGAGGTCTAGAAGGACGGAATTGTTTTGAGGGCCAGGCCTAAGTGCTGCTCTCCTATGTCCCCTCATGATGTTTCTTGCTGCATTGTCGCTGCTCTACCTCAAGCCAAGGCTCAAACAACCCTAGGTACTGCTCAGGCTATTGCATCAGAGGGCAAAAGCCATAAGTCTTGGCGGCATCACTCTGGTGTAGATTTCAGTTGCATAGAATGCAAGATTAGTGAAGGTTTGGCATCTTCCATCTAGATAGCAGAAAGCCTGAGTGTCCAGGCAAAAGCCTGCTGCAGTGGCAGAAACCAACAGACTCCACTAAAGCAATTCTGAGTAGAAATGTGGGGTTGTAGCCCTCACAGCCAGTCTCTACCAAGGCAATGCCTAATGGAGCTGTAGGAGCAAGGCTGCTGCCTTCCAGACCCCAGAATTATAGTCACTGGCACCATGGAATTTCAGACT